TTGAAACCTGGTTAGACCAGAGGGTGCACAGCGGTACAGATGGGAACTGGAAACACAGGGAATCTAGGACAGATGAACCCCTCAGGACCAGAGGTGACAGTGGCGATACCGGGTAGGAAGGCGGAGGGGGTGTGGTGTAGAAAAGAGAAATCTATCACAAGGATTTACATATAACCCCCTCTCTGGGGGATAGGCAACAGAAAGGTGGGTGAAGGGAGAAGCAGGGCAGTGTAAGATAAGATATAATAATAATTTATAAATTATTAAGGGTCCACGAGGGAGCGGGGAGCAGGGAGGGAGGGGGAGGGGAAAAAGGAAAATGAGGAGCTAATTCCAGGAACCCAAGCAGAAAGCGAATTTTGAGAATGATGAGGACAACAAATGTATAAGTGTGCTTTACACAATGGATGTATGTATGGATTGTGGTGAATTCTATGAGCGCCAATAAAATGATTAATTAAAAACAAACAAACAAAAGAAAAACAAATGAAGGGCTAAGCAAATGGGGGATGATGGCAAACAGAGTATCGTTCAGTCATAAAAAAGAAATACATTTCTGTTTTAATGGCTGAACTTTGAAAACATTTTAAGTAAAATGAGTCAGATAAAATGAAAAAAAATTTTTTTATGATCTCACTACATCAAATGATTAGAATTTACAAATCTATGAGATAACAGTTGATTACCAGGGACTAGGGGAGGAAAGGATGAGAAGTTCTAGCTTTGAGTACTTGACTGGGTTTCTGGTTGGAGATGTGAAAAAAAAATTGGAAATGGAGAATAAGAGTTGCATCACATTGTGAATACAATCAATGGACCTATATTATTAAAAATATAATTTTTGTTTTATATATATATATAACACTATATATATAGTTTTTTGCCCCAGGAAATTAAAAGCGGATAAGTGTCAACGAGATGAATGGATACACAGCCTGTGGTGTACCATATGATGGGATATTGTTTAGCTGTACTCATGCATGTTACAACATGGGTGAACCTTGAAAATATGTTGTCATGTGAAGGATGCCTGTCACAAAGGATCATATACTCTATGGTTGCATCTATCTGTGGTATTCAGAACAGATGGCTACCAGGAGCTCTGGGAAATGGAAGAATAGGGTGTGGTGTTTCCTTTGGGGTGATGGAAATGTAACTAGATGGTGATGGTTGAACAGCAGTGAATTGCTCACGTTCGGATGGTTATTTTTTGCTAGATATGTGAAGTACACATCAACGGGTAAAAGAGAAGTATATTGAATGAATTTAAGCAGCTATGGATGTAATAAGCAGACATCCTGAAGTTGGGGCAATCGGCAGTCCGGGCAATAGACAGCCATCAGTCAGAATTTTAGACTTCCTCAATCTCTGCATGAGATTCGTCTACTAGCTTAGATGGCAGCAGGTGCAGATAAAGGACTCCTATACTTTATGCTGAAACTCCTAGTACTTTTGTGACCTGAAGTGCATTTATATGCATCTGTTTCTGATAAAAACATGAATGATGTGTATGTTCAACTGTTTTGAAAAATGTTTCTATAAGGCAAATATTGAGCCTGATGTTTACCGGGAAATATAATCAGATGCTCAGTCATGTTCTGACTTCTAAGACCCAGCTCTTTTGGTTACTCGGGACCACAATCGAACATACTCTGCGGTAACTCGGTAAACTGCATCTACCAGCCAGAAAGAGAGACGGTATTTCCAAAGAGTGAGCAATTTCTTTCCTTTCCACTGGCTCAGGCCCTTTTTAATTTAATCAAGATGCAGAATAGCATCAGCCTTTACCATACTCCACTGGCTTCTTCAACAAATTAAAACAACGACAAAAACAAAACCTCACAGCCATCAAGTCGATTCTGACTCATGGTGACCCTGTAGGACAGGGTAGAACTGCTCCTGGGTTGCCAAGACGGTAACTCTTTTTAAAAATTTTAAATTAATCATTTTACAGGGGGCTCTTAACAAATCTTATAACAACCCATCATTCAATTGCATTCAGCACACTTATACATATGTTGCCATCAACATTTCCAAAACAATTTCTTTCTACTTGAGCTCTTGGTATCAGCTCCTCTTTTCCCCCCCCCTCCCCCTCCCTCGCACCCTCATGAATCCTTGATCAATTAGATATTATTGTTGTTATTTTGTGTCTTACACTGTCCATTGTCTCCCTCACCCACCTTTCTGTTATTTGTCCCCTTGGGGGGCTATTTATCCAATTTTGTGATAAGTTCCCCCTTGCTCACCCCCATTGCCTGCCCCCACCATTCCCCTACCCTCAAGATATTGATATGCCCACTACTGTCCCTGTGGGGTTTATGTGTCCTGAATTCTACGTGTCAAGAGCTCTTATCTGTACCAATATGTGTATTTCTGTTTAGTGGGATTTGTAAGGTAGAACGACTCATGGTAGTGGCGGGGGTGAGGGGGGAAGTCCACAAGCATTCAGGCACTAGAGGAATGATATGTGTTTCATCGTTGCTTTACTGCACCCTGGTTTAATCATCCCTTCCTTGTAAACCTTCAGTGGGGGGATGTGCAACCATCTACAGATGGGCTTTGGGTCTCCACTCCAATCCCCTTCTTTCACATTGATATAATTTTTTGTTTTGGATCTTTTGATACCTAATCCCTGTTCTCTTAGACACCTCATGATCATACAGGCTGATGTGCTTCTTCTTTGTGGGCTTATTTGCTTCCCTGCTAGATGGCTGCTTGTTTAACTTCAAGCCTTTAAGACTCCAGAAGCCACATCTTTTGATAGCTGGGCACCATCAGCTTTGTTCACCACATTTCCTTATGCACCCATTTATCTTCTGCGATTGTTTTGGAAAGGCAAGTATCAAAGAGTGCCAGGTTATTAGAACAAAGTGTTCTTGTGTTAAGGGAGACCTTGAGTAGAGACCCGAAGTCCATGTGCTATCTTAATATTTAACATATAAATATATGTACATTGGCCTCCATCCCTTTCATTATAAATTAATATATTTACATAGACTGTAACTCTTTAGAGTTAGTAGAAAGCCCCAGCTTGCTCCCACAGAGCAGCTGGTGGTTTCAAACTGCTGACCTTGCACCAGCAGCCACATTAAGTATATTGATAAAGGTTGAAGAAAATAAATAAATACATGACAGTCAAGTTGAATATTGATTTCAGCCTCTATTGACTAAATATGAAACCATTTTCCCTACAAAATAGTTACCTATGATGTCCGCCCAAGTCAGGTCCTTCTCACAGGTATGTAATATCCTGTAGGGTGAACACGTTGTGTGGACAGAGAACCCCCCTCTGGGAGAGCCGGTTTTCCTACTTCTACTGCTCATCAAGCCAGTGTTTCCTTACGAATGGTGGCTGACACTGCCAGCCGCTTGGAGGCCTGAGCAAGTGCTTTATTATAAAATCACTTGAAACATAATGTTGGCTTCATTGCATCAGAAAAAAAAAAGGCGACAACTACTGGCTGTGCCTTCATCCTATTCCAACCAGGAAGTGAGACCCACGCTGCCGACTGGATCTCCTGGGTGGTCTGAGAACCTCCACACTGCGGTTAAAATAACGGAACATTTGACTTTTCATGAAGGAAGAAAATAAGTAGAACTTTACATACAATAACTTTCAAGAAAATTTTTTTAGGTTAACCACCATAACCACATGGGAAAAGTGTAACACATTTCACAATTTCGCTCACAGCCATGAAACTGATGCTTTTGAAGATTGTGGGGGAACTACTTTAAAAAGCCTGACTATTAAAATGATGTAGCTTTAAACAAACTCAAGAAAACTCAAATGATTTTTGCAGATCTTGGGTGATTGCCTTTTGATGCACGGCAGTCAGTTTCCCTCCCCGGCTGCCCAAGGGTTGCTAGGAAAACATTGGTTCCCTCCGTCCAGGAGCCAAGTGGTGAAGCAGAGCGCCAGACTCCAGCGACTGGGCAGGTGGTGCGACTATGGGCACGCTGCCTCTCCTACAGGATTTAAGTCACCGGGAAGGCTTAAAAAGCAAATGCGACTACCTGGAAACAAAACTTTCAAAAGCGAGGGGAATGCCAAATGCCTCACTTTCCACTCACCTAATACTCTCTACGTGTTTCCCTCCCACCGTAAACGAGCCAGCTTTTTATATCTTTATCCAAGAATGTCGCTTATATTTTGGATGCAAGGACCAGTTCAGAGGGAGGTTCGTTTCCCCATCTTATATAAAAGTCCACAGCTGGGAATAGGATTTTTTGTTAAATCATGAAATCGTGAGAACATGCGGCACAGAGACTGGTTGGTAAGTAATTCAAGAACTGACGTATTCATTAAAAGCCAACAGACAGAACACACCCACAAACAAACAAAAGCCAGTGTCATCCCAACCCCCAAGAGGTTTGGGACTAATTTCCACTTGGACGCCTCCATCTAACCACGTACACGGTCGGATTTAAGGGATCCTGTCTGTCTTTAGTTATGCAATGGTCTTCTAACCACAAGGTCAGTGGTTCACGTGCACCAGTAGCTCCACAGGAGAAATATGCGGTTGTCTGTTTCTGTAAAGATTCATGGTTTAGGAAACCGGCTATAAAGTCACTGAGAGTTGCAATGGACTGGCGCAGTGGGTTTGGTGTGGGTTTTGGTCGAACCTGTTGAGGTCTCCGTGCAATCTGAGCAGCTTGCACTCAGCTCCTAACCCAAAGGTGGGTGGTCCCACACCGAAACCACAGACCTGGCAAGGTCTTCCTTAAAGGCGACAGTGAAGGCAACGCCACAGTGCTCACTTCTCCCCTGAAACACACGGGCCGCCTTCAGTCAGAATTGGCTTGACAGTCTCGGGTCTGGTCCTTGGCCGTCCTTGTATTTTTCATGCCAGACTGAAACTCTGTCTATGGAAAAATCCCTGCTGAAAGCGGATCTCACTCAGGGCAGGCACACCTGCCATGTGGGAAGCTAGGCTGACATTTCATGGTGATTGAAATGACTTAAACTGCCCAGTGCACTTTCATCAGCAAAAGGGAAGAACAGGAAAGTAGAGCAGTGTCCTGGCCCCAATAACTAAGCAGGGTCTTTACGCTGGGTTCACCTCCTGGGTGGTTTGAGAGCAAGGCGACCATCCGTTGAGAGCTGTAGGGATGAGACATGGACCTGTGCGTTTTGATTTGGGTGTGTGGAGGAGATGGGGTGGGAGTAGAGAACTGGGGAGAGCCTGGGGAGGGAACCCACAAGGGTGGAGGGCACATTGCAGCTGAGGGCCAACAGAGAGGCCCTGACACTCTTTCCTAGAGATTCTGATGCAGTGGGTGAAGGTGGAGTCTACACATCCGGACTCTTTCCCATGGAGCCCAGGTGGTTCGAGGGCCCAGCTGAATTGGACAAGCCCTGTATAAAAGGACCCTGGGCACCGTTGGCCTTAGCTGCCTTGTCCAAAGGTAAGAACTCCCATTTCCTGGCTATTGATAAACCCAATAAACGATACAGATACTCACTGCTGCAAAAGTCCCGTTCCAGATTCTGGTAGACACATTCACAAAGTATTCTGCTTTCACCTGCAAGTCTTTCAGCCAACAGGTAACGTTACTGCATGAAGCAGTTCTGCAGTTCTTTCCAGGGGAAGGCATTGGTGAGAGAAAAGATGGGGTTAGCATGGGCTTAAAACACAACAACCACCATAACTACTTTGATTTTACAAAGATAGATAAGCCGGTGCTGGGCTGACTCAGAGGGCATTTAGCAGTCAGAATCCTTCTTCACTCTGATCAAAGCTCAGCCCCTTTTCCCCAGATATCCTCCTTCTGTATATCACATCTGGGCAAAGGGATACCAAAGCCCTTTAGTATCATAACTATTTCTTAGAATAAAAGGAAAATGTAAATAACTCATGTTCATCAACAGTGTGCTAGTTAAGTAAATTGTTGACCAGGCATAAAATGCAGTACAATTCAGTCCATTCGCTTAATGAAACATTCCTTACACGTTTAAATGGTCTATAAAAAAGGTAGCATGAACACAATAGCATGCATATATCTGGAATCTTTGGGTGGTACAAATGATTGGCTACTACCTGAACAGCTGGAAATTCTAGGACTGGAAGAAAGGACTGGCATTTTGCTGATCTAATTTTGAAAACTCAGCCATTGGAAACCATGTGGAACACAGTTCTACTATGATATACCACATAGGAGGAATCCATGAGTAGGAATCAATTTGATGGAAACTGTTTTTTTAGGTGTTGAGTGCTTACAGATACAGAGAAGAATGCTCAGGGAATATTAACAGTGGTCAGATCTTAGATTACTGGACATTTTGAGTTTCTTCTTTGAGTGCTTTTGGCATTGCTTGAATTCTTCAATATAAGCAGTTGCTATTTTTAGAAAACCAATGAAAAATTTTCCAAAAAATAAGAAAAAGCTCGAGAAGTATAATCTTGACATACCCTTAGGTACAATTTTAACTGGTATATTTCTGTACTGTTATTTACATGTAAACCACATTTACATTTAATTATGCTGTAACTACTTTAAAAGCAACCCCCGCCCCACTTCTGCATCCTTCATAGTATTAAACAAAAGCAGTAGAAGTAGACAGGAGAATTTCAATGGTGTTTCTCTCAGTGGGATTATGGTTTGTTTAGAGTTTGTTGTTTGCTCACTGCTTACTTGCTTGAATACTATGTTGCAAACATCTTGCTGCTTCCTACTCTAATCTCTGTTTCAAATAAGAGAATATGAGGGGTACCACCAAAAAAAATGGATTTTTTTCAAAGTTATGTATTTAAGTTTTTTTTGTTTTGTTTTTTTACAAAACAACCTTAGCAACTTCAAGGTACTCTCCATTACACTTAATACATTTGTCAAATCTGTGATTCCATTTTTGGAAATATTTTTAAACTCATCTGCTTGGATAGCTGACAACACCTCCCTCATTTTTTCTTCACCCCTACAGTCACCAAATTGCTCTCCTTTCATGTTCCTTTTCATTCGCAGAAACAATAAGAAGTTGCACAGAGCAAGGTCAGGTGAGTCAGGTGCGTGGGACAAGAGAGGCATGCTGTTTTCTGCCAAAAACTGGAGCACTGAGATCCTGTGTGAGCAGGTGCATTGTATTGGCAGCAAAACTTGTCCCTCATCTGCCACAAATCAGGTCTTTCTTGTCACACACTGTTACATAATCTTTTCAGAACCTCTAAATAGTTGATTTAGCCAAAAGGCCGAGAAGCAATCTTCTCAGAAACTCTAAACAGAACATTTGATTAACAGTCTGACCTGGTGGAACGAACTCTAAATGCACTATGAGTTGACATTTTTGTCCACTGGGGAAGCTGACAAACCTCAGAATTGACATTTCACCTTTTTTTGAAAAGAGAAAACTACTTATACACTTGAGTTTTTCCCATAGTGCTGTCCTTGTAAGCTGTGTTCAACATCATAGTTCAACAGTTTCTGCGGCATGTTTCCCAAGCAGGAAACAAAATTTTACAGCTGCATGCTGTTTTCTTAAATTACAAATAACTAGCTTCAAAGGGTTCATGAAAAAGTGAGAGTGGGGGAGAGAGAGGGAAAAAATAAGGAGCTGAAACAAAGTGCTCAAGTAGAAAGAAAATGTTTTGAAAATGAGGATTGGAACAAATGTAAAAATATGTTTGACACAATGGATGTATATATGGATTGTGATAAGAGCTGTATGAGCCCTCAATAAAATGATTTAAAACAAAAACAAAAACAAGGTCTATAAGACAAGATGGAAATAGTTTATTATCGGTGCTAATTTGTTGCACTCCTTTGAACCAATGTAAATAGAATTATTTTAAATAATGCGACTTTGCTATTTTCACAATTTTACTATATATTATTTGCTTAATCTATATAATTATTCATGTAATCCCCAGAAACTTGGTTCAAACTGTTCATTTTCTATGTATAGATTCATTAATTCAGAATAAGTAAAATGCATTTTTTAAATTAAAAAAAAAAGAGCTTCAAGAGAAACTGCTTTCATGAAAAAATTCACTGTGACCAGAGAGAACCTTCCCAGGAGATGTCACTGGGTGCACTAACTCAGAGTGAGTTGCTAGGTGCTCCCCTAGTGGAAAACATGCATAGAATGACAGCTCTGCCTACTGGAGTTTTTTTCCATTTTGAGGGTGGGGAGGGGGTACCCCCTTGTGTATTGAAAAAGAGAGGGAGGTGATAAAATGTAGAAATACAGGGATGGGTGGCCAGGGAGGCATATTTAAGAGCAGCTAAGCAGGAACAATGAGCTTCAGAGGCGTCATATCTAACACACATGCTCCAAGACCCTCACAGCAGTTGCCGTTTGTTCCTAAGCGATTCTGAAGAGAAACACAGGAATACGTTTTTCACAGGCTCTTTAGTCTCATGAACTTTTTAGGATGTCTTTTATAGTAACGGTCTAAGAAATACTTTCAAGAGCAACCCTGGTGACGTAGTGGTTTGCATGTTGGACCGCTAGCAACAGTTACAGTCTCAGAAACCATAATGACCTTGAGGTCACTATGACTCAGAATGGACTCAACAGCAGCGAGTGTGAATAATTCCAATAACCTAAATTCGAGCCTGTATTTTCTAAATTTCGATTTACACAGGCTACCAAAGGCAAAGGAAGAAGAGTGGTCCCTGAGTAGTAAAACGGTGAAAGCATTCAACTGCTCACTGAACAGCTGGTTGTTGGATTCCTAGCCGAGAGGCCTCAGAAGAGAGGCCCCCAAACTACTGAAAACTCGGCCATTGAAAACTCTCTCAATCCAGACTCTACCCTCCCACCCACTCTGACTCAAAGCGATCCTATAGAACAAGATAGAACGCCCCGTGCATTACCAAGACTTAAGTGTTTACAGCAGTAGGAAGCCTCTGAGGCATGGCTGGTGGTCTTCAACTGCTCACCCTGTGGTTAGCAGCCCAAAGCATACACACTGCCACCAGGGCTGGGGTACGATTCTATTCTGACACACAGGTGGTTGTCACCCATCAGAACCGCCTTTAGTCATGGAGGATATAAACTAGCAGGGGAAAAGGAGGGGCGTGAAGAAGTAGTTTGCCTTCCAGATAAAACAAACCAAGAATCGCTAAAGGAAACTTTCACTGTGTCAATTGTCCTTACCAATTCTTTTACGTGCCAGAAATTTTCACTCTTGAACGATACAGAAGAAGATGCTTGTCCTAGTTTCAAGGGATTTACTTCTGCATGACAACTGATGTCACCGGCCTGTGAAGAGGGACTTGGGATCAGTCTGAGGCAACAAGAGAGTTTATGACATTCCTTTCAATATGTTACCACATTCAGCTTTTCTCTAGTGGGCCAAGGAAGGAGCTGCCCACACTTTCTGTAGTTGTTAAACCCTGAAGTATGTAAATCACCCTGACATAATTTCATGGGGATGGTATGGCTCCGTGTAACTCATAGGAGACAAATGTGCAATGTATACTGAAAGGAGTTTTAATTCAAGGCTGGGTTTTTTTCCTGGAACATTTCGTACTTCTGTAAAATGGGCTAGGTGCTAGACTGCAGCAGTCAATATCAAGGGTTTGCTACAGCAGTGCTTTTCAACCCAGGCGCATGTGAGGACACCTGGAGGGTTTTGTAAAAAGATACCAAATACTAGAGTGATTGGCTTAGAGCCTGGGCAATTTTAAAGTCTTGTGTAAAAATGAGCAGATGATTATAATGAGCAGCCAGTGTTGAATAGTGTCTGGCTAAAGTCCAGGTTGGCAGCTGAAAGAAGAGCCTCTAATTGCTTGTGTGTAGCCCTACCACTCACCCACTGCAGATGCCACCTCTCACTTACCAGACTTCTCTCTTAACGTTGCTAACAAAGCCAAGAATTCACCTGGCCGATATGAGGGTTCTGGAACGATTTCTGCCATTGATAAGTCCCTTCAGGGTTCTCAACCTTCCTGATGCCACGACCCTTTCATACAGTTCCTCATGCTGTGGTGACCCCCCAACCACAAAATTATTTTCGTTGCTACTTCATCATCGTAATTTTGCTCCTGTTATGAATCGGGCGACCCCTTTGAAAGGGCCATTAAACCCCCAAAGGGGTCGCGACCACAGGTTGAGAACTGCTGCCCTAGACTCAAGCATTTGCTTTCTTACAGGGATGGGCTGCTTCCAATGTGAACTGCACGGTTAGTTAACTGGTACCCAGGGTGCTTGGAGGTCCCATCTACGAAATGCCAGACACGATCGCCCCAAAGTCAGAGGTGATTTCCATTGTGAAAGTGCACATGTTTTATGGGCAATAGTGTGATCCTTACCTGGCTTGTGTGCACCCCAGTGAGGTACATCAGTGAGTTCTTTTCTTTGGTATGTTGAGGGATGTGGATGGTTATGTACGCCATGCTTACTGGAATACTTCCTGTTGTTACCTACATAGGGAATAAAACAATCCTATTGATACATGGAGAACAAGATGAGGCTATCTATTCCAGTAAAGAGCTCCAGTCTTGGGAACCCACAGGGGCAGCTATAACCTATAGGGTCGTTATGAGTCGGCATCCACTCAATGGCAGTGAGTGAGTGAGTGATCAATACATGATGCAGAAACATAATCAATAGCTCTCTATGTCTATGAGGGGCAACTATCCAACAGTAAGACTGATTTCACATGAAAGTCAGGCTTCTCACTCACATTTTGGGTCTCTGGTTCACCTGTTAATGAGAAATCTCAACATCTGTAACGGTAACATAATTTGTAATATAAAGCAGGATTGAAAACACTGCCTATGGAGTTGGGCTGGCAGGTGTGGAATCTCCCTCTGCCACTGACTAGCTGTGTGACTCGGACAAGGTATGTCACCTCTCTATGATTCTCTTTTCACATTTGAAAAGTCGAAACAATCAGAAACTCAACTGGTAGAGTGCACGGATGAGGGTCTTTCTCTCTGGCGGCTTCTGCTTTAATTGGCGATACTCTTGTTCTAAAAACAGAACCCACTGTCATAGAGTTGATTACGACTCATAGCGACCTTTTAGGACAGAGCAAACCTGCCCCATGGGGTTTCCAAGGCCATAAATCTTTAAGGACATGCCAACTTTCCCCCCATGTTGCAATAGGTGGGTTTGAACTTCTCATCTTGGTCAGCAGCTGATTGCTTTAACCACTGTGTATCAGAGCTCCTTGCTCATGCCCTCTAAAACCCCAGCCAAACTCACTACCATCAAGTAGATTCTTTAGGTCTAGCCAACCTACAGGACACGTTGAACCCCTGTAGCCCAACAAGCCAGCCCCGTTGGCATGTTAATATTCTGAAGTTAGAATTGACATCAGAATTAAATAGGTGAACATATATTAAAGACTTGGCACAACAGCTGACATTCAGTATTTTTATTAATACTACAGAAAAAAATAATGTCATTTTATTATTACTATTCAGGATAAAATGTCTCAATAAAGGATAAAGCAGCCAAATGCCACCCATTTTTTATAAATTTTGGTGTTTGCATTGCAAATTAAGATTCTTTAAAACATTTTATTTTTCTTTTTAATCACAGAATTGCAAGGTTGTAACTATGTAAAGAATTAGAAGGAAATGAACCAAATAAAGTGATTTTGATCTAGGCTCAGAGATTAATTCTTTTTAAATATATATTTTATATTACAAAGTAATTATTCTTTCACAAATTAACTTTGCTATCTAGTAGCCAGTAGAATTTTAAAATATATATATTTAAGGTACTTCTTAGCATGATTCCACAAAATATGTATTTGTATCCAAACTGTAATCTTTTCAAATTAAGATTAAATTGGCCTTCTAATTCCATTAGGGAGTTCAAAAAGTTGGTGGGAAAATTCCATTGTTTAATACCTTTTGTCCATGGAATTTTTGAAGACCCTTTTTAAATCCAGTATTTCTGGCGGCAAAGGTGTGCTCTAGTCTCTCTCACAGTCTCCCTATCTACTAATGGGAATAATAATTACTAGTGGACCAAAAAGTAAAATATGTGCCTTAGGGGAAAATTTCTGGGCTAGTACCAACAGAAGAATCGTCACTAGATGTTTCTTCACTCTAAACAAAGGCAATGAGTATAAGGCCCATTGCCCGAAGGGGGCTTTCCACTTTTATTACCCCTTTCCCTACTTTCTCACTGCACATGTTGTTTGAGTTGTTGTCATGGCTGCCCGTTCATGTCTTAAGCCTGAGAGAGAGGGACTCTGACATTTCTCTTCTGTGCTGCAGAGTGAGGAAAGTCTAGAGGTGACTGACTATTGGATCACAGCCTGGGACAGGAGCCTGATCTTGGGGAGGCAAACCTTGTGGAGCCTTGGCTAAGAGGATGTCCATTATTTTACTCAGCCCTGTTCTGTTCTACCCCCATAAAGAGTCAGTCTCAGAAGCTGCCCGAGGCAGTTCTACCCTGCCCTATAGGATCGCTATGAGCCATAATTGACTCGTCGGCAGTGAGTGTGATTTGGGGGGTCCTGTGTCCTCTGTAAACAAATGCCAAATGACTCTGCCATTTGAGCAGAGCTTGGTTTGTGCTCTGCCCCAAACTGTCTTCCCTGAGAACTTAATAATATGACACACTGCGATCATTAAAATTCCAAACACCCACAACAACAGCATTACACTACAGACTCACTGCCACGGAGTCGGCTGCAACTCATGATGACCCTGCAGGACAGGGTAGAATTGCCCCTGTGGGTTTCTGAGACTGTCACTTTTTATGGGAGTAGGAAACCTTGTCTTTCTCCCATGGGGTGCTGGTTTGAATTTCTCACCTTGCAGTTAGCAGCCAAAACGTGTAACCACTACACCACCAGGGTTTCTAATCCCATTAATCAAGTTTGAGCATTTACTTTCGAAAATGATTAATTATCCTTTGCCCAGCATATATAATTATGCACAGAGCTTGGTTGTTGACTTATATATGGAGTGTCTCAGTAGTTTTCAAAGTATGGCACCTGGACCCACAACACTGACATCGTCTGGAAACGTGCTAGAAATGCAAAATTTGGATCCTAACCAAATCAAGGTCTAAATCAAAAGCTCTGGGCTGAGCCCAGAAAAGTCCTTGAAAACAAGCACTTCACATGATTCTGATGTCTGCTGGAGTTTGAGAACCACTGGCACATTTCACCACCTTTTGAAACTTATTTTCTGATTTCCCAGTTTTATTTCATGTTTCTTTCCCTTTCCGCCTGTTTTCCTGTCCTGATTAAGGGTTACCAACCTTAAGGGAGAAGATGAATTTTGGACCAATGTCTTCAAAGTTATGAATGATGGTAGGAGCTTTGCTGTCTGAAGAAACTTCATAAAAATTTATGCTGGTAGATCTGTTAAGAGATGGAAAACCAAAGATTTTAGCTATGCTATAGCTCCTGATGTTTAGTAATTCTTTGATTTAAATGTCTTATAGCTTAATGACAAGGAAAATAGTTTACATTTAGATAAAAACAAAAACACTAAATAAAAACAAATGCTCAGAGGCCTTTCAAAACATCCCTTAATTCATCATCTTTCTGCTGGAATTTTGTTATGTTGTTTTTCAGTTGTCAAATTTCTAAAATAAGTACGGGTGTATTACTTTAGAGATGATAGTGGAACCCCTGTTTTTTTTTCTTTTTCTTTTTTTGTTTCTTACCCTAACCCTGCCCCAGAACCCCTGTTTTTATGTTGGTTGGATGAATGGTTTACTAAATGTCCATTACCAAACAGAGTTTTCCACTCAATATGCCTAAACACAATGGTAGCATATTGGGTATTAGTTTCTGAAATATTCATTACCCTATGCGAGAGATGCAAAAGTATATTTTCCCTTGTTACTCTCTCTCTTCTTTTCTACGTTCAAGCTATTCTTGGGTTTGGGGTCTGAGATAGGCTTGGTTAAATCTGTTTCCACTACTACAGGGACCATCTTTGTGGGGGCTGATCGATAGGTTTTATTAGGTTAGACCTGAAGGCATTAGTCAGTTTTTTGTTTGTTTGCTCAGGATTGCCACCTATGCTGTACAGGTGAAGGCATGCCAGGTCTGAGGAATCCCATACAAAACAACAAACTCACTGCCACAGAGTTGATTCCGGTTTGTAGCAAGCCCACAAGACAGAGTAGAAGTGTCCCTGTGGGTTTTCCATGTTTTACAGGAGTAGAAAGCCTCAACTTCATCCAGCGGAGTGGCTGATGGTTTGGAACTGCTAATCTTATGGTTAGTAGCTCAATGTATAACGCACTCTACCACCAGCGCTCCTATAGCATTCCTCAAACAACAACGCAGTGAGAGACTCACTTCCCCTTGTCACTTACTTGTGGATCCCTTGGATTCCCACCAAGGGAGCATCTTTAGGTATGGCACTAACCAGTCTGAGAACCCTGGACTCATGATCTCCAATTATTCCCACTAAACCATTGATCAGAACGCTGAGATATTAATCCTAGTTTTTAGTAAAATAAACGGAATATTTTCTGAGTTTCTTGATTTGTCTACACAAACCCTGCCTTTCTCTTTTTTTTGCCTTCAAAACACACACACACACACACACACACACACACACACACCTTTCAAAATCCTCAAAAAGATAATATGTTGTTGCAGGAAAACCAATAAAGGTGATTGTTTTCAGGTAACCTGTATGTGAGGAAGCAAGGATTTATCCATCTTATAATGGATACGGAATAACTGAGTCAGATGTGGAAACAACGGGCTGCCTATGCATGCATCAATTACCCCCTTTGCCTTCCCAAGGATCTTGGTGCGAGCAATGTTATGGATTGAATGGTGACACCCTCCATCCCTGGTGGCACAGTGGGTTACACACGGGCCTCCCAACAAAAAGGTTGGCAGTTTGAAACCAACAGCTGCTCCCCAGCAGAAAGATGGGGCTTTCTACTCCTATAAAGGATGACAGTCTTCAAAACCCACAGAGGTAGCTCTACCCTGTCCTACAGGTGTCCACGAGCCAGAACGGACTCGGTGGCAGTGAGTATAGAAGTGGTTGGGATCCTGATTGGGTGTTCTTTGTAATGTCAGTGCTGGGTGCGCCCTACACCTCATCACTTCTGAGTTATAGGATCGGCACAGTCACAGAGAAGAACAAGCAAAAGGTAGTTGCTCCACCATATGAGGATGTCAAACAAACAAACAAAAGCAGAAATCTTTAAAAAACAACAAAAAAAGAGAAACTGGAGAGAGAGAAGGATCTCTGGTCACAGAGACCAACAGAGAGAAACCTTCCCCGAGAGTGAGCCGTGAATTCCGACATCTAGCGACCTAGGGTGAAATGCAGTGTTTTTCAAAGCCACACACGTGATATTTCTGATACAAGGCCCTAGAAAACTAAGATAGCCACCAGTTTCCTATATATTCGATTTTCATACATTCTCTCTGCGTTTTAAAGAGATAAGACGTTTTTCTCTTGTTTCTTAGTGTGGGTCAGTCTTTTCAGATAATTGCAGTTATCCCTACTCACGGAAATCCTGTTTCTGAAAGAATTCTACCTTGATCAATTTCCCTACATCATACTTGCACAACATGATTCCATATGTATACAGAATCAAAATAGTTACTTAGGGATGCCCTCAATAAATCACCAAGTTGTTTATTTTTTAAAATGTTATTTATAGCATCGCTATAAATAAAAATCACCAAGTTGTTTATTTTTTAAAATGTTATTTATAGCATCGCTTATGATCACTATAATATATTGTTGTATATTTTAAGGTATTTCAATGGTGGGAGAGTGGGATCATGGAAAGAATGCATTCTAGTAAAATTAGAAGGAGGAAGAATCAATGTAGGTGGGGAGAAGAGTGATAATCAGGTAAAATTTGGCACTTTGGGTGCATTTTTCTTCCCCTGATCACAATTTGCGGACTTGAGAGTCCTTTGTCATCTGCAGTGAGCGGGTACCTGTTTGGGGAGGATCACGTAGACTGTCTGCACTTCTGTGTGTGCTGCTTGCAAGGAAATCCACACAGAAGCATCCGCTCTCTCCTGCTCAGGTATCTCAAGCTCTGGACATGAAAACCTAGTGTCTTTTTATGATGTGGTTTGGCAGTCTGTTGGATGATCTATTTATTCCACACTTTTAGGGACTGGGGTGATGTAATAAGGAGCTAGAGAATCAACTGTCACAAGATACTGCTTTCGGCCTGGCTTCCTGGAGTCTCTTTCAGGGATCATTAGCTGGTCTGTGTGTCATCGGAGAGAGTATGCTGGCTCCTACTACAGACAACATGACAAAGTGCCAATAAATTACCCACGGCTCCACCTACCTTGTTAAGTGAATTTCAGCATCATAGAGTAGAGGAATTTTGAAGGAGACCAAATTATCTGCCGGATTCTCTTCATGGCTTTCGCTATCAGAAAGAACATTAGAGAATTACTTAAAAATAAATATACAAGCCAACCATCACTGACTTATGATGCCATTATATTTTACCTTAAGGCTTGGAAACTGACAGTTGCTTGATTTTCAGGGTTTTGAAGATTGAGGTCGAAGCTAATAGTAAAAGTCACCTATACATAAAAAAATGTATCAAACTCTGATGCTTCATTCTTCACACTACATATATATATATAACAATCCACAAAAAATTAAACTTACTATAATTTGATTTTGAATTTGATTTTAATTAACTTGGCAAATGTGTATAATTACCTTTACTTATTTGTCACTTTGTATTTGCATGACCTATTTGAAAATATATACTAGCCCTCAGGGACACAGGCCTGTGCCTGCAAGTGAAAGCTTTGTGTTGATTAACAAATGACATGTACATAGCTCTCTGACCCATACTCATCAATATTTTCTGAGAAAAAGAAGTTTCTAGATCTTGCGTGAGTTATAGCATGAATGGCCTGGTGGGTGAAAGGGGAGGGGTTAGGAATTCAACTTTGATTGATCGTTAAAAGAAATAACATTCAATCACTTCTCTAAATGCACAAAACAGCAACTCCCTGCCACTGAGCCAATGCTAACTCATAACAATCCTATAGCAGAGAGTAGAACTGCCTCTCTGAGTTTCCAAGACTGTAACTGTTCACAGGAGTCAAATGGAGCCCTGGTGGTGCAGCGGTTAAGCACTGGGCTGTGATCCCCAAGGTTGCACATCCAAAACCATCAGCAGTCCCACGGGAGAAACACTGGGCTTTCTATTCTTGTAAACAGTTACAGTCGCGGGAAACACTAAAGGGTCACTATGAGTCAGTATTGACTCTCACTGGCAGTGAGCGATCAAATGATAGTTCCTCATGAAGAGGTTAGTGAGTTAATACTGGTGCTGAAAGAGATGAACATGAGTCGGAGCAGGAAACCCAGGTCGTACCTGTTGTCCGCTCTTTAAAGCAGGGTAGCCTACATTGCAGGTAACCGCTTTCTGAGATGCATCGACCTGACATGTGACTTCAGTCCCATCAACCTGAACAGGATCAAAAAAATAACCATGGACAATTAGCATATAAGCCACTTGTGTATGCAGACATTCGCTGGGAGGCGTGTAAACCACAGACATTTTTGTAGGACGGCTGCACCCATGGAAGTAATTTATTGTCTCCCAATACTCAAACAATGATGGTTGTCCAGCTGACTACTATCCTACTTTTATTGCGGACCATAAAGAGGAACAGAACTCCCAACAAACCAAAGGAGAAGTCAAATCTGAAATATTTTCCCAGAAGGAACACATAGTTTTTATACTTCAGAACCACAAACACAGTTTTCATCCATTAGTCAGAAATGCTGATTTCAATATATGGGTTTTTGCCTTAAGGTATTTGAAGCTGGTCTTTTTCAAGAGAAGAAAATAAAATCCTATAATGGTATACACTCACATTTAAAATCATGTCAAGAATTAGTCTGTATTTTCCTCAGATTTTTTTTTCCTCCTTCAGATGTGAAGTTGACATTCACCACAGGCAATTAAGACACTAAAGTCAGAATATCTTTAGAAATCAATATTGCTCAAATTTCAAGTAAAGGAAATCATTATTTTTAAATCTTTCTATTGGGAGGCTCCTTTGGGGTGGAGGGGCTGGGGATCTGTGTTTTTCCTTCTTTCCTTCTCTGCTTGCTAGTGGCAGGGGTGAGGCCGGGGACATTCTTGGTCAAGTGTGTCCCTGGTATGGTGATCAAGTGAATGCAATGAACTGGCTCCGCTGGAATGCAGTGTCTTGGCAGCAAAGAGACCTCTGCTTGCAAAGCTGGGGCTAAGCTGGGGACTTGGATGCCTCTGGGCAAGTGTGGCCCACAGCCTCTGTGTGCACCAGGGCACCAGCAGCCGCAGAAGGGCTGAGCGGGGTTACAGGACTGCCGCCAAGTCTTGGGGTAAAGGAAAATCTGATCCGGGCTATGAAGCAGAACTGGTCAAAATTAAGAGCCAGGGTGTATGCTCATGTGATTTAAATAGTTAGGAGTCACAAAGTTAGGACAGATCCTGATGAATGGAGATTTGCAGACAAGCAGTCCCCAGGTTAAGAACATCAGAGTCATGGACAACTCCTACCCGCCTCTTAATATTACATAAATTTGTCCTTTGGGAAATAATTGAACGAACCCCTACTAGTGAGCTTTGTAGTCTTGGGAACCGGATGGAGCAATTCTCCTGTCTTCTTCAGAGTGGCGATGAATCGGAATTGACTTGGTGGCAGTAGGTTTGGGGGGATTTAAAAGCCACTTCACACAAAGGAACCCTGGTGGCTCTATTGGGTAAACACTGGCCTGCTGATCTCAAGGTTGGCTGTTCAAATGCACTAGCCTGCCTGAGAGAGAAAGATGAGACTACTGCTCCTGCAAAGATTGAAGCTTTATCAATTAGGCAGTAGTTGGTGCGTTAGTGCACAGACGCAGCCATGGTAACTGAAAGGTTAACCTTCCAGCCCACTGGCCAGTGTGCAGGAGAAAGGTGAGCAGTGTGTTTTGGAAAGCTGTAACCCGACCAACCCACCTATCTGCCAAGGAGTAAATGCCAACCACACTGGCCCTATATAGGGTTTCGGAGACTAGAAACCACTTCATTCTCCTGCAGAGCAGCTAGGAGGTTTGAAAACACACGGACTTTGTGGTTAGCAGCCTGGCGTTTAACCCACGGTGCCACCAGGCCTTCTTTTAATTGCATGAAGACTCACAAAATCTCATGGCCATTGAGTGGGTTCTGACTCAGAGCAACGCTACAGAACCGGGCAGAACCGCCCCTGTAGATTTCCACGGCGGAAACCCTCGATGAGGGGACAGTCCCGTCTTTCTCCTGGGACAGGATGATCGTTTGAACTACCGACAGGGCGGACAGCGTGACTGCGCGGCCGCCGGGACCGTGCCTCTTGCTTCAGAAAGGCTAAAGAAGCACTGTCTGCACCTGCTCCAACAGAATTACAGGCTCTGAAGACGGCAGCGTGACTCTGCCCCTCACCCCGGGCAGGTGCCTCGGGAAGACAACACGCGATGCCAGCAGGAAGCGCGTGACGGGAAGCACCTACCGGCACCGAGGACGACGCGAAAAACAGGTTCTCTGCCAAAGCAGCCACGACTCTCGTGTTATACGCACTTTCCTGTGCGTTTTCCAGTGTTACTGAGAATGTTAACCTTCTGTTCTGGTTGCTGACAATTAAGGGTTGCTTTCTGTTAAAAATAAAAAGATAGAAGGGGAAAAAAAACCCACAAAAACATTAAGGTTAGAAAAGGCCAGTATTAAAATGTTTTCACTCAAAAGGAACTCTTTAGAATTATAAAGACACTTAACAATTGCTTAATCATAAGCTATCTTCAGATTAAATTTATATTTATAGTAAACCAATACACTTTACTATACATCCCCCCTTTGGTACTCTTAAGTGTTTTAAACAGTATAAACAGGGAAAAGAACTATCCCTGTCCAAATTGTTCAATACTTCTTCTTGTTTTATATTCTGTATAAATGGCATAAATTGAAATTCGATTTATAAAGACAAGCCTCTACTAGTGATGAGGGCTTCTTTTGTAGAAAAGATATTCGCCTGGGTAAGGCTCCCTAGGGTATGTTCTCTCTCAGTATTGCACACCGAGCTTGAAAATGAACTTACTGATCGGCTGGCAGCTGTTGGACCTTTAGAACTAGATCAGAGACACACAGTCCGTCGTCACCACAATCTTTATAGAACGGAATCTGCAAGGGTAAAATAACCCGCCCCAAGAACCCTCTGTTAGAGATGTGCTTTCTAAACAGCTAGTTTCAGAAGAATATATATATATATACACGATAGGAGTCCATTGACATAAAACTCAAAGATAAGTAAAACTAAACAAGTGTGTCCAAGCCCTAAAGAACTGTGGGGGGTCGGGGTGAATAGGGGGGGTGTAGAGTGAGGACGATGGCAGAAGAGGGGACATAGGCACTGGTAGGATTTGATATTTTTGAGCGGGTGGTGAGCACACAGCATTTACTTTATTGTAATGGATCGACTCAGTAAATAGGTTACAAACAGCAGGTGCTGCTCTATGGGCGAGGAATAGAAGAGTGAATAAGCAAGATATAAACTCTGCTTCATGGACTTTACATTCTAATGAACCCTTCACCTATGTCATTGTATTTCATTTACAAAAAACCCCAAGAATTGAAAGGCTACATAGGGGACTTTGTTAGCATATCTAAAACCTGGAGAGGCAAACTGTACTTACACTGAAGACCTTGGCCCTTTCGGAATAGGCTTCAAGGGTAGGGCTGGTGCCAGGGTTCTCCAGACTGATGTTCACACGCAGATCCAAAGGGCTGACAACATCAGACGGCTCCTAAGCACATGTGCACACACACACATACATACACACAGAGTCAGTTAGTCAGTTTATTAGGTTTCAGCAAATTAAATTAAGAAAATGACCTTCAATCTATTTACGCTCATTTCTTGCTTATGTAGGATAACCATCTCTTGAATTACCCAAACTTGTTGTTTTCCTAGGCCTGTGTTCAACATCCTCACGAAAAAGAGAGGTGAACAAGGTTCGGTAAGAAAATCTAGTAATAAATTCAAGAAAGAAGAAAATGTTCTAAAATTGACTGAGATGATTGTACAACGCAGCATCAATAGGATTGAACGACTGAATTGTATGAAGTATGAATTATATGCCAATAAATCTATGAAACAAGTACAAAAGAGAAACACTGGAGCAACAACGAGTAGCTCGCTCATGGGAAATGTCATTAGAAGTACACAAGTGGGAGAGAAACGATGTACAAATGCGCTTTACACAATTGATTTGTGTATGGATTGGGATAACAGTTGTATGAGCCCCTAATAAAATGTTAAAAAAAAAAAAGAAGTACACAAGTGGGGGCGGGGGGAGAAGTGGGGAGCTGAATCAGGGGCTCAAGTGGGAAGAGAATGCTTTGAAAATGATGATGGCGGCATATGTGCAAATGTGCTTGACACAGTGGATGAATGTATGGACTGTGATGAGAGATGCAAGAGCCCCCAATAAAGGCATTTAAAAAAAAAAAGAAGTACACAAATCATTCTGAACATTTAGATGATATGCACATACTGGATGATCTGAAAACCAAGCAGACTACCAGAAAGAAAAAAAAGCAAACCCCAAACCCGAACCTTACTGTTGAGTCAGCTCCACTCATCCTGTCTCGTGTGTTCTGATGCAGGACTGTCTCACTGCATCTATTCTTGGATTTAATCTTGACAGAAGCAGATCAGCAGGCATTTCCTCCATGAACCGCTATTCTAAGATTAGTACAACCACCCCCAGGGTCTCCAAGACTGGCATCTCTAAGGAAACAGACGGCCACATCATTTTCCTTTGGAGTGGCTCATGAGGTCTAACTGCCAGCCATTTAGTGAGCAGCAGTGGGGTGCTTGAACACTGCACTACATGTGACGATGAATATTTTACATATATATATAAAGAGGGAGGGAGGGAGAGAGAGAGAGAGAGGGAAAGTGAGAGTCTGGCTGTCTTTGTTCCCCCTACAAAGGGCGACATGTGTTATTTGATCCGCCACTTGGCACATGGACAGGAGAGAATGGAAGCAGCTTCCTCCCTTTTAACAATCTATTCGGTTAGTGTGGCATAGTGTTTATCAGTTGGGCTATGATCCACAAGGGCAGCAATTCGAAACTACCAGCTGCTCCTCAGGGAAAAGATGGCGCTTTCTACCCCCATAAACAGTGAAAGTCTCAGAAACTCATGGGGGCACTTCTGCCCTGTCCTATAGGGTCACTGTAAGTTGGCATTGACTCATGATGGCAGTGAGAGAGCGACAGTGAGCATGAAGGGGCTCTGGTGGCACAGAGAGTTCAGCATTACACTGCTGATTACAGAGTTGGAGGTTGGAACATAGCAGCTACTCAGTGAGAGAAAGATGACATTATCAGCTTCTATAAAGACTTACAGTCTCAGAAACCCTATGGAACAGGTCTGATTTGACCTATAGGGAGGCTATGAGTCAGAATCAACTCAATTGCCTTGGGTATAATTACCACTTAACCATACAAAAATAATCTGGGTGGGATAAACAATAAACCTTCAAACCTAACATAACATAAAACAACTGAGATGGTTTTATTTCCCAAAGCCACTGACTTTGCTCATTAGCACTTTCTGCAATGTGATCTCTGTATCATCTACAGTAGGACTGTCTAGATATGTGCCACAAACATGAACATTCTTTTGAGCCGCCCTTTTAGAACAAATGTCTGGGGGTGGTGGTGGGGGGGACCCAGAATGGTTATTTTATAACTGTTTTCTTAGCCACTCTTATGAATCTTCATCTCTGAGAACCACGGTGCTAAATATTCTAGGTGAGTACTTAAATGAGTCCTTTAAAATTACACTTTCAAATTTCATCATGTGATTTCAAAGGAGCGATGTTCATATGTTTTAAAAATGTATTTTCTGTTAAAAGTTTTCCCTTGAGAAGCATCTTTTCATACTTGGGGAGAGTTTAAAACACTGTATGAATTACATCATAAGATTAGAAAAAATAACTCTATTTCATATCTCTTGTTTCTTTGAGGACTAGCATGCACCTGACCCAAGACATGATATTTTCAATTGCTTCATACACATGTGAAAGGTAGGCATTAAATAAAGAATATCAAAAAAATATCAATGCATTTGAATTGTGGTGCTGGTGAACAATGTTGAAAATACTGGGGACTGCCAAAAGGACAAACAAATCTGTCTTAAAGGAAGTACAGCTCCTTAGAGGGAAGGATGGCAAAACTTCATACTTTGGCCATATTGTCAGGGGAGACCATTCACTGGAGAAGGGCATCATGCTTGGTAAAGTAGAGGGGCAGCCAAACAGAGGGAGGTTCCCAAGGAGATGGATTGACACAGTGGCTGCAACAATGGGCTCAAACACTGGAACAATTGTGAGGATGCTGCAGGACCAGGCCGGTTTCATTCTGTTGTGCGTATTTAAGATCGCTATGGGGCAGAACTGACTCAATGGGACCTAACGACAAAAACAGCATCCCAAAATCCTCAGTCTTCACCGCTATCGCCTGCAATCAATGGTGGAACCCACCCTTGGAACCGCTCCTTCCAACAGCTTGAAAATGAATGCGCATTTTCCCTGGTAGGAAAGTGTCAACGTGAACATATTGTTGTTTTGAAAGATTTCCCTGTTACACGCTTAGGAAAGCATCCTCTCTTTGACTTCTCGCAGGATCTTAGAGGAGATTTTGACTTGTAATCCCAAATGCAATGTGATGCTTCTAAGTTTGTATAATAATTGAAGTTGATCCTAAACATTCACAAAAAGGAAACAGATCTCCTGTTCTAACAAGTAAGCAATTATTAGAATTATTAGAATAATTAGAATTCTAATTATTAGAATTAATTAGAATGACAAGTACTTTTTAACCCGTAAGCATTCATTCTTTCCTTTAGGCCTTCACTGTTCGTTAAGCAGAAGGAATGAGGTGGGAAGGGACCACTCTGAGGCCTCACCTGGATGAGGATGAAGTGGTCCGAGCAACGCTGAGCTTGACTTACTACCACGTTCTTTTGCAGGTATCTCTCATTGCTCTCCTTGAATAATCCCCTGGAGGTCACTCTGGATGAAAACCGATCTGCATCAAGGGTCATGTTATACGTAATGCCTGTGATAAAAATGATATGGAAATATTATTACACATAAATCTTTTTTCTTTTAGTCAATGACTTCTCGATTCACCCTTACTAATCATCAAATATTTTTTTTAGCGTGAAACCATTTCTTAGCTTTTTAGAATAGTCCCTGAAATAATTGTCGTCTACAATATTTGTCCATTTGCACTTGACTAAGTTCACTCATCATAACGTCCTTCCGGTTCATCTACTTTCTGAGCTGCTTTGTTGTTCTCTGATGTTACAGAGTCTTCCATTGTGTGCACGTGCCAACGTTTATATATTAATTCCTCCACTGATAGCATTTAGGCTGTGCCCATCTGTTTGCTCTTATGAACAGTGCTGACGAACGTGGGTGCGCATCTACCTCTTTGTGTCCTCGTTCAGAGGGATGGCTGGGTCATATGGGATTGGTATTCCTAGCTTTTTGAGGAAGCAGCATTGAATTTTCCACAGGGGTTGCACCATTTTATAGACCCACCTACAGTGTGAGAGTTTCTCTCACTAGCATTTGCTCTTTGGCAGATGCATTTTTATGAGGGGAAAATAACTTTCCATCCAATGTAGCCTACAGACTGGCTGGAGTGCTCACCTGCTTGATCCGTGCTGAGGCAACTCTAATAAACTCACCCACTCATTTGAAAGGCTTTCCTATCTTGCATCTGAATTTCTTTTGAGTTCAACAAGAACAGGGAGAATGGGGCCTAAGGCTTCCAGTCTTTCCCAGTAACATTACCATTGGATACATTCTGACAAATCATTTTGAATAAGTTCTACAATAATCCTGGAAAGTGGATATAATGAGCCTATTTCTGATATAATAAACTAGAATAAAAGATGCTTTCAATTTGCCAAAGTGTTCATATTAGGATATTTTAAAAATAAGATTACATGAATTTGTGAGGGTTAAATACTTCTTGCAAGGATTAACTCTACTCTGTGGACAGGCACAGAAAGGTATGGGCATTGTAGCAACAGGGTTTGATTCAGACAAACTTGGTTTGAATTCTAATTCATCACTTTGAGCTGTGTATACTCGGGCACTTTGCTTAAAACTTTTCAATCTCTGTTTCTTTATTTTTAAAATGAATTGATAAAACTAACCAAGGGAAGTCAAAATAAAAACAATTTAAAATAATGAAGCAATAAAAATTCATGTATGTAGTCAATGTCTTCAAGCTATAAGAACTACTCTTTCAAGCTAGCATTGCTGGTCATGTGTCCAAAATGGAGAGCGAGAATCTGGTGCTAGTCATATATTTGGGTAACTTCATTTGGGATTCTATGTTGAATATACCTCCCAAACCAATTCCATTATACTACTTTAAAATATTACTTTTCCCTTGGTTTCAAGCAGCTTGCTAAAAATTATGCAGTCTTATAGACAGAATACACTTATATATAATTAACTTTAAATTGCAATGTTCATCTGATTCAATAAATAAGAGACCAAATGCAGTCAAGAAATAAAGTGATGTAATGCATTGGGCAAGTATGCTGCATTAAGGTGTTAAATAGCAAATATGTCACTGGGAGGACTAGAGTACACCTGACCCAAGCCCTGGTATTTGTGATCACCTCGTATGCATGTAAAATTGGAAAATGAATAAGGTAGACTGAAAAAGAATCTATGAATTTGAATTATACTGCTGATAAAAAAAAAATATTGGAAGTACCAGGGACTGCCAAAAGAACAAACAACCCTGTCTTGGAGGAAGGACAGACAGAATGCTCCTTAGAAGTGAGGGGATCAGGTATCAGGCATCAAAGAACAAAAAATCATGTCATTGTGAATGAGGGGGAATGTGGAGTGGGGACACAAAGCCCATCTGTAAGCAACTGGATATCCCCTTAAAGAAGGGTTGCGGGGAGGAGACGAGCCAGTCAGGATGCAGGGTAGCAACAATGAAACATATAACTTTTCTCTAGTTCTTTAATGTTTCCTCTCCCCCTACTATCTTGACCCCAATTCTACCTTACAAGTCTGGCTAGACCAGAGGATGTACACTGGTACAGATAGGAACTGGAAACACAGGGAATCCAAGGTGGGTGATCCCTTCAGGACCAGTCCTGAGAGTTGTGATACTGAGAGGGTGGAGGGAAGGTGGGGTAGAAAGGAGGAACCAATTACAAGGATCTACATATAACCTCCTCCCTGGGGGAGGGACAACAGAAAAGTGGATGAAGGGAGACATCAGACAGTGTAAAATATGACAAAATAATAATAATTGATAAATTATCAAGGGTTCATGAGGGAGGAGGGAATGGAGAGGGAAGGGAAAAATGAGGAGCTGATACCAAGGGCTCAAGTAGAAAGCAAATGTATTGAGAATGATGATGGCAACAAATGTACCAATGTGCTTGACACAATGGATGGATGGATAGTGATAAGAGTTGTATGAGCCCCCAACAAAATGATTTTTAAAAAAAATGATGACAGGGAAAAAAAAGAAGTGAGGTTAGTGAGACTCCATCTTATGGACCTGGACACATACATTATCAAGAAAGACCAGTCCCTGAAAAGGGACATCATGTGTAGCAAAGTCTAAGGGCATGAGAAATGAGGAAGACCCTCAACAAGATGAATGGGCACAGTGGCAGCAACAATGGACTCAACTCTAACAGCAATTGTACAGAGGACACAGGAGGGGGAGTATTTTGCTCTGTTGTACTCATGGTCGCTATGAGTCAGGACCAATTCATTGGTATCCAACAAATTAAAAAACAAGACAGCAACAGACTGTATAAATTCACTTTTCAAAGTTGTAAAGATGCAATTTGTGCCATATACCCTATTATTTCCAAGAAATACCACAAATGATCATGATTGGCTTCTCCCTGTAGCCCTGGGGAGATGGAGGAAGATGATTTAAAGGAAAACCACTCACCCAGCAAGCAAGAAACTCAGAGGCTCCAGAAAGTGAGTGGATGGGAAGAGAATTCGCTGATGATGCAACCTCTTCAAGCGTTAAGACAACAGAAAAGCACAGCCAAGAATTGGAAGACACACGAAGCCAACGCCATCTAAATGTCAAGGTCAATAGTGCCAGCCAGTCGATTGCTTCTCAACTAACCATACATGTTCAAAGTTAGCTTTTATGTCAACCCGTCATTTATTATAATATTTATTTATACAGCAATGTTTCTGACCCAGCTTTCATGGGTACTTGAATAAATGGGATACAAAGCAGCTCTGTAAAATATGCTGCTCAAAGTTTGGGCAATGTTTGAGCTCCTGCAAGGAACAGTTTTTGATGGAGAGGAAAACAGAAAAAGCTTGCCAAGGCATGAGCTTAACTTCTGCTTTGTGTCCTAACCAATTCTTTTCTTGTTATGAATTATGGAAAATAACCTTCCTCTGTATTTTTTGGTCTTTAAATTACTTTGCTTGCCACTTGATGAAATACCTGTGGAACTACAGGCTTCCAAAAAATAATTAGAACCTGAAAGCACCAGGCATGATGTTGGGAACCTTGAAGCAGTCAACGAAAGAAGACACCATTGAATCACTCCCACCCATCTGTCAGTGCGCCATACTGCGTTGTTGTGTGTGTTACCATGACACTGGAAACTATATCACTTGTACAGATTTGAAATCCGAGCAGGCTCAAGGTCTGACAATCTACTTCCAATGATTAGTCAATGAAAGAAAAATGCAGAGCAATAATATAAGCAACCGAAAGAGACTCACATAACGGGAAGAATATCCCAAGCTCATGAAAAGGAAGACTCAATATTGTGAAAAATGTCAATACCACCTAAAGCAATCTACATATTCAATGAAATCTTGATCCAAATCCCAACATCATTCTTTATAAAGAAATGGAAAAACTCATTACCAACGTCATATGGAGTGGGAAGAGGCCCAGGATAAGCAAAGAACTTCTCAAAAAAAAAAAAAAAGGTTGTCTTGCACTACCTGGCCTCAAAACCTACTACACAGCCACAGTTGTAGCTTGGTCCTATTATAATGATAGACATATAACTAAAGGAACAGGATAGAAAATCCAGAAATAAAAGCAACTGCTTCTAGACAACTGATCTTTGACAATGGCCTAATAAACATTAAATGGGAAGGGGATGCCCTCTTCAACAAATGGTGCTGGAAAAAACCAGAAATCCAACTGCAGAAGAATGAAACAAAAACCATACCTCACTTCATGCACAAAAACAAACTCAAGGTGGATCAGAGACCTAAATGTATAACCCAAAGCTATCAGGATCATCTATGAGAAAACTGGACAAATATAAGGGCCCTAGTACAGGACATACACGGGAACATCTAGAACAAAGGACGCACACACTGTGGAAGACAAAATAGATGAGTGGGACCTATTAAACATAAAACACTAGAGAGGGTCAGGTGGCTACTTCTGCTAATTATTTGATGTTACATCTAACCGAGGCATCTTATGTAAGTGGGAGAAAGTCCCCTTAGGAATGTTATCAATCATATTGTGATTCAAACTAAGAGTATGCAAGCTAACAATCTTCTCAACAGCATGCCAAGGAATTGTTTCTAGATTGTTACATGACAGATCCAGCTTCTCAAAGGCAAAGACACCCTCAAGTGCTGTAGAAGAAATCAAGGTCAACTGATTGTTTTTCAATATCAAATGGTGGAGATTGTGAAACTCACAGAACATATAATTTGTAATTTTAGTCAATCTGTTGCTTTTCAAATACAAAGCCCTCAGATTTCTTACGTCAGTAAAAGCATGAGGTGTAATAAAACTTATTGTATTCCTGGATAGAGTCAAGTCCACCAAAAAAAAAAGTAAAACACTATGTTAATCAAGACTTCGTTAAAATCTTAAAACATGAGCCCATAAATTGGGAAAATATATTTAGCAATGACATAATGGACAAAGGACTAATTGCTAAAATTTACAGAACACTCTTAGCACACAACAAGAAAACAAACCAACAAATAACCCTCCTAAAAGTGGTCATGGAACGTGAATACACAATTCACAAGAGAAGACACCAAATG